CTTCTTACTGTTGTGTGATGGGCTTTCTCGTTTCACTACATGTCTGTTTGTGACTGATGTGAGTGTTTATTTAACTTTTACTTCTATGATGATTTGATTAATAATTAGAATTACTCGCTCATAGGTTAGAGCGATCTGATGTTCACATAATTTTATACAGTGCTCAAGCAAGAGATAGTATGGTAGGAGATGTTCTGGAGCAGAATTCTCCAGGAAGCAATATGTTCCAATTCAAAATTCTGAGGAGATATGGTTGCTACGTTTATCACAACTTTGATCCAAACATGTTTTATTAACAACTTTGAACTCAAATTAAACTTTGAAAGTTGGATTGTACTAATTCAAAGAAAATTATAATTATTGATCAAAATAATTATATAATGTATGTTAATGTTGGAAAATTTGTAATGATTGATTAATTTTCGTTTGCTCAAATTTTCATCAATCATGCTGAATGACTTGATATTGTTTAAGTGCTTGTGAGGGCTAGAGATATGTATTTAAATATTAATTACAAAATGATTATATTCTATTATAGATTAATAGAAAAAATTATATTAAAAAAATTACATACACTTCTCGCCTAATTGTAACTTGCCCTTTAGTGTTGTTGTCTTTGTTGTTCCCATTACGTTATGGTGGAGCCATGTAATGAAGTTGTCCCAAGCGATGTAAAAGCCCATTGATTACCTGACCCCTTTTGATGTAGCCGGGTTGACATGGAACTTTTTGACCACCCTTCCAGAGTGATGTCATTAGTGAACGCTCTGATAGTAGTGATGCAGAAAATGAAAAATCGGTCTATCGGTCTTGATGCTCTTTCAATACCAAGCTCGACCTCCTTGATCTTGTACACTAACTGAATCAACTCCTTCATTAATTATTCAATATTATTAATATCTGAGCAACTATGATATATATAATACATATGCACTATTGAACTCTATGTAATGCAAGTGCTATTGTTCACTATTAAAAATTTCTCTCTAGGCTTTAACCATTATGAGGTGTTTTCAAATCTTTCCTTTCTCGTGCAAAATCATGATGCTGTTTATTGTATTTGAATTCTGTACAAATTGTTCTTTTAATTTAATTTCCTTAATCTGTCATTGATTGGGAAATCTACTATTGGGCTAATAATATTTTCCGTGATTTACAGATTTTGAATAGATGGCCCAATGGATAGACTTGAGATGTTTCAATTTCAATGCTCCACTTAGTTGCTTGAGTTGTTATAGATTTTTTGCAATCACTTTCCACTTTCTTTTTCATTTTTGTCATATATGTCAGTGAGAAGTTGAGTGTGCATTAGCAAAGCTAGGCCCTGCTAGGCTTGGGGAAAGGTATGACATTGGAATGTGCAGTTATTATTATTATTTTTTATGAAGCTGGAATGTCTTGGTATGACCATTTCAGTTTTTTTAATGTATTTGATAAAGACAATTTATATGTTTTCTTGACTCTCACATCTTTTAGAAGAGAAGCTACAAAATCTCATATTTTGCCGGCTGGGCTAGTTTGCTGGGTGATTTCTATAAGCTATTTCACTAATATTCTTCGTGAATGTAGATCTGTAGCCTTGTTCGCATTTATTAAATGTCATTTGTTGCTACATATTAGCATTTTACCAGAAATCTAAGTTTTGAGCGGTCAACTTTCTCTGCTGTAACAAATAATCAGTGTTTTTTTTAAGATTTTTATGGAGGGTTTTTCAAATTGTGTTGTCATTGTTGCCTCTTATACAATTTGATGTTCGCACTCTTTCATGTTGTGTTACTGTTCTCTTCCAGTGCCCTTAAATTGAATAACTACTTATGTGCCAAAACATGGAATCAACATCCAATGGACAAATGAAATAGAGGCAATTTTTTATTAAAATGTCAAAACATGTGGTATGAGTTGAACTAGAATTGTTATATATGCATTCAAAGAGTTTGTGTATCAATTGATTAAAATGTTTTAGCTGCAATCATGCTTTGAGACAAGGATGTTTGTGATAAGCTATACTTGAGTTCGCAAGCAAACCTAATAATAATCGGTAAAAACAACGAGAAAACGTAGAAATTATGGTGGAAGAACAATCAAACGATAGCAAATCTTATAGTGTTGACCTCGATTTTCGTAAGAGTGCCCTCGAGGGTCTTTGGTTGATTTAATTGAGCCTCGTCGAGCCTAGTTTAATCCAGGTCAATGCCGATTTATGTCCAATTAAGTTGATTCAAGTTCGATTCCATTAAAATCGACTTGATAAAATTCAATTGAACTTAAATCGACTTGAAATTGGGTTAAATTAGACCTGATCGCATTCAATTAAATTAGATCCGTTCATTTTAGACGTGCCGGGTTCGGTTTGGATCGAGTCAACGGGTTATTTAGGTTTAATTTTGTTGATTTGGATAGAGTGGAGCCAAACCCGAATTAACCCAAATTGAGTCAAGTCAGATTCGGTTTGGATCTAGTTTTAGCCTCATGAATCCCACTTAATTCCCATTAAAATTTAATCGACTTTCTAAGAAATTTGAATTTAATTTATAAATCAGAAAATAGAACCTACGACCCTGATTTAATCGGAAATCCCAGTCTGCTGTTGTCAGTTGGCACAGTCGCCTGATCTGCTTGTTTTAGAAAGAATGCATCGTCGTTATCAGTTTGCACAGTCGCGTGATCTGCTTGTTTTAGAAATAATGCAGCGTTGATTTTTTTTTTTGGGAAAATTTGGGGCAGAGCCCATTCATTGATGTAAAAAATTACAGGTAAAGAAAATTACATTAAATATAATCCAAAATCTCAAACAACAAAAAGAGATTAGGATTCTTAAAAAGCCAAAAAGTAATTCTCAAAATCCAAAAGGAAACACAGAGATACAGGTCTTAGAAACACAAACTAGGTGGCGAAAGGCCACGAAGGACTCAGATCGCTCAACATACGAAACGGGGCAAACGGTAGGGTCAGTAAGAGCGAAGCCTCTGGTTGCCAAAAAGACCGTTCAAGAGGCAGCTGTCAAACAGCATACATCATTGTCCTTCCAAAAAAGTGGCTCCCAGCGTCCAGAAATGAAATCAGCAACCATGATAGCAGAGAAATAACTTCCCAACCATAGGGAGAAACAGCAGGTAGGACACCCGCACAGAACCAGGAAGCAATACTTCAATGTCGTTTCCATTTTAAAGTTTTGCTGTGAATAGCCTTCTTAATTTTCTCAGTCACAGTGGCTTGACAATCAAAAATGCTCCCAAAAATTCTGTCATTACGCGCTCTCCAAATGAAATAAACCATTGCCGCAGTAGAAAGGAGGTAGTAATTGTTGTAATAAGCCGAGTGACCTTGCTCCAGAACACTATCGAATAGTTGGTGGAGGTTGGGTCTCATCATAAGCACATTAAGCCAAGGGAGAATAATTTTAGCAATGCTAAAAGTAAAATCGCATTCAAAGAACAGGTGGGCGGTGGTTTCAGGAGTATTGTGACAAAAACAGCAGGTAGACTAAGTGATGATACCACGTGAAGCTAAAACATCTGCAGTTTTTAATCCACGTTTAAAAGCTAACCAAGTGTAGACTGCATAACGAAGGGCCGAGTTTTTATGCCAGACTAGATGATGCCAGGAAACCTTATCCATGCTAGCATAAAAAAGAGCTTTGAAATTACCAAAATGTGGATTATGTTTGCCGAGCCAAAGATGTCCAGAATCAAAAGACTCAATGTTAATCGCATGAATGAGATTAGTAATATAACTATCAAAGCCTTGAGGAATCAGCCATCTGTCTCCACAAATGCAATTGGAGACCTTCCAGTTGAAGAACTAGGAATAATTGTACAGGGACTGATTAGAATTAAGGTGATCCGCTATGGAGATACCCCCACACCAGGGATCCCATAGAAAAGAAAGATTACAGTTATATCTAATAGAGAAAGAGATGCAGTTTTTAATAGCGCTAGCAGTACTACATAAATGCTTCCAGTAAGGAGAGGTGAAACCAGATAAACCAGTTAAACGCCACAGAGACTAGTATTTTGCTCTCCACCAATTAAAAAGCAAATTATCATCGTTAAGAAATCTCCAAATGAGAGAGCAGGAGAAGCTGTGATATAAAGAGCAAATAGATGCAATGCCCAAACCTCCAAACATCTTAGGGGAGCAAGTATATTTCCAGGATATAAGATGAAGTTTCCTTTCCTTAATATTCCCAAAATAAGTGAATCTAGAGCACATCCGGTTAATCACTTTACAACAGCTTTTAGGTATGATAGAGCCACGGATCCAGTAAGCAATGGTGTTGCTGATAGTGAATTTGATAAATTGTATGCGACCCGCTAAGGATAAAGTTTTAGCCTTCCACCCATCAAGAAGTTTGGAGACCTTTTGAAGCAAAGGTAGAAAATCAGAGATCTTAAGTTTTTTGTAAAAAAATTGGGATCCCCAAGTAGGTAAGGGGGGAGAAAGATTGCTTGATGTTCAGAATGTCACAAATTTCAGCAGCAGACTGCGTGTTGGTAGAGAGCAAAATAGAGCTTTTAGAGGGGTTGATGTGTAGACCAGAATTAGCCGCAAAGTTCAGCAGAATGTCCTTCAAGTTGGTGGCGTTATGAGGGGAAGCAGTACCAAAAACTAAAAGGTCGTCTGCGTACATAAGATGGGAGATAAGACAACCCTCTGCAGAAACACCTTGAAAGGAAGAGTTAGAGATAGCTAAATCAAGGCAAGAATACAAACTATCCATAACAAATCTAAATAGGTAGGGTGATAGAGGACATCCTTGCCGAATACCAGAGGAGGAGTTGAAATACCCCTCTAGAGTGCCGTTTAAACAAATGGAAAAATGAACATCAGAAGTGCAAGCAATAATCCACCCAATAAACATATCGGGAAAGCCTTTGGCTTTGAGCCTATCGTAAAGAAATTGTCTGGAAACCGTGTCAAATGCTTTGGTGATATCAAATTTTGCACAAAAATATTTGTGATCGGCTCTTTTGTTAGTGGGATCGAGAAGGCGAGGCAGCGGTGTTATCTCCTATGCTCGCTCGCACTCTCCAGGTATAACTCCCTTACTCCCTTAGGCATTCGCACTCCAGGGAAGGGGTGGACTTTTTTTTTTCTAGTTCGCAAGGCTCTCGCTCTCTCTCTCTCTCTCTCTCTCCCGGTTTTCCTCCTGTTCAATCTATCCAGAGAAGCGAAAGCCCCCCTCCTCTCCGCCGTTTTTGGTTCGCAGATCCAAGGAGAAAGTCGAAGCCCCTCTATGCGGAGTCCTCTGTTTGCCTCCCCCGATCGCGAGAAGACGGAAGTCCCCTCTCTCCCTGTCCGAGACTTGAGGCCGGAGGCCTCCTCCCTCGCTCGCTCTTGGCTTCGTGCACTGGGACCGAACCCGACGCCTTCGACTTGCTCTAGCCGCTGGACTCGCAAGGTGATTTCTTTCCCTCTCTTTCTTTCTTTACCTCTATTTCTGCTTCTTCCCACGTTTCTTCCATCTTCTTCTACTTCTCTTCCTCTTGTTCTTTTTCTTCATTCCTTTCTTCTTCCTCTTCTCCTAACTTCTTCCCCTTCCTCTTCTCCCAACTTCTTACCCTTCCCCCTTTCTTTCCTTTTTTCTTTTTCTTTCATGAAAATCCTGATTGTAAAACGGTTAGAAAAAAATTCTTTGAAAACAGATTAAGTGCTGGTCCCTATTTCTATTATTGCTAAGATGACAAAGGTATGAGTTCTTTTATTTTTATGAGGCTTTTTCGGATTTTCCATCATTCTATATACATGGTATGAAAAAAAAAAAAAAAATCTAGTTGAAGTTACTTCTCTTATATATGTTTTAGAGGTTGACGAAGTGATATCTGCTAAAATTAAGATTTCTTTCTCTTTCAGAATTTAGGGACTTAGTTTTTGTTTTTTTATGATAAAAAATTTCTTTTGAATAGGTTTAATTTGTCTTTGCTCTGCCTTGAATTAGTAAGCTTAATCTTTATTAAAGTTGAATCGAAGCAGATTTGATGAATGAAATATATTTTCTTTTCGAGGTTATTTTGTTCACTTTTTGCTGTCATATAGAGCATGTTATCGTCTCAATTTTCTTGAATAATGTGTGTAAACACTTGAGAGATTCTTAATTAGACCGGAGGGGCTTCCCATACACCTTCATTCTTTAATAATATATGATTCCTAAAAGTCATATTTTAGCTTGTTATCCTCTTTTACCTTGCTGGAAGTTATGTGATTATGTAAAAAAAATATTGTGTATGTCTCAACGCAGATGTTCTATATTGATTTTTGCTCGATTAAGTGTGTATGACGCTTGCATATATCCTTCAACTTGAAACCCCATCCATATACTCGATATCACATAAAGGTGGGAATTTGTGTTTATATTCCGTAGTTGCATTTATTTTTCATGTTCCAATTATAAACATACATCGATTTAATATGATGCCCTGAGATTCATGCTAGGAAAGGATGCAAGTTCGTATAACCATTTCTTTGATTCATGGCTAGTTAAAGAGTTTGTGCAAATGCTTATGCCTCAATATTCATATGAATTGTGACTTTAGGATGTAAAGTTCATATAAGTATTAATGCTTCAAGTAACCAATTTGTTTTTTTAGATATATGAGATGAGTTTGATATGAAGAAATGGTTCATGTTGAGATTCCTTTGTTAGCATTGTAATATGGTTTTATGAGAAGTACTTGGAAGCATGTTTGATATTATACGACAAATGGGCTTATAACCATGCTAGATGAATTCACCTATTTTATATTTCAATTGCAAGGCATTTCACTTCGTTTTACATTATTGGATGAAGGACCCTTTCTTCATGATTGCATTGATGCGAGTATGACCATTGAAGCTTGACACTTAGAAAGGCTTGTACTTAAGATTATGCTCTTGCATTTAATAAATTCTGGCAACGTTGGAAATGTTGCAAGTGTATGCAATATATATATATATATATATATATATATATACATACATACATAAGCTGTTCTTCTTGAAACTATATTTCTATTTTCAGATTTTGGGAAGTTGGAAATGCATGCATATAATGGTTCTTAATCTCTTGAGCTATATTTGGTAGAAGAAAGATATGTTATTTAAGCTTTGATTTGCTAACTAGAGTATGATTGTTTTCTCCTTTCCAATATTCTGCTGTTGATTTCGAACCCTTGGCAAGTAATAGTTTCACATTCGATGATTAAAGGTGGAAGTTATGAATATCATTGAAAATATTTCGCATGCTTTCTTTATTAGATTTAAACGAGAATTTGACTTTTAATAGGACACAATGGAGAAAAAGGATTCATGTAGCCGACCCCACGTAGTGGGATAAAGGCTTGATGTTGTTGTTGTTGTTGTATGGTTCAAATACAACGTTGCTATATGTTTTTGTTTCTTTCTTGAAAATTTTTTTTTTTTTGAGTTGATTTGAATGAGATTTAAAATATTTTTGCAAAGTTTATCACATGCATTCGTAGTTCATGATGTTGAAAGTGAGTGTAGGGTGATTTGTGATGTTTCATATGATAGTTAGAGATGGAGGTTGCATTGTTTTTTTTTAATGTGGCATGAAATGCTTCTCTTGAATTTTTGGTGGAATCAGGCATGTTGGGAGGATGTAGTTTGTTTGTATGGTTGTTGGAAAGTGAAGTCTTAGCTCTCTTTCACCCTCCCTCTATTGCTCTCTTCTTTTACTACCAGTGTTTTGAATTGAAATGTGGTAAAGATTGAGAGATTCAAAATGGGAAATGACTCAACCGGTATCCAAGCCCGAAAAAATGTACGTTAGTATTTTAATTGTGTTTTATTTTAATTAATTTATATTAATTATTATCGTGCTCTAATACAACCTTTTTTTTTGCTTTTCTATAATTTTTGCGAGGAAACGCTAGGGAGTGAAAGGTAAGGATCCTTTGGAGTTGCTGTGATGAAGGAGTCTACATAAACAAATCAATCGCCTCCATTCATTACGGTGGGAGTGCTACGGGTGGAACCACTGGGTCATAGCCCTCGGTGTAGTAAGTTCTCTTAAAACTTAGATAGCCCTTAGGATCCTTTTGTGTTTACGCTTCCTACCCTTTCGGGCTTTGTAGCAACTTCAATTTTATTAGGATCTTTTTATTTCTTTTAGATCCCTAAACCCATTTACACACATGTATATGTCCGAAGGGTTAGAAATAATATTTTTCTTTCATATAACACTAGTGACACATAAGGGCAAGAATTAAAGACTAAGTCTTAGATAACATAGACTTAGGATAGTTGTTCCTTTTAGGATATAGACATTAAAACATAGAGAACTTAGTGACACATTTTTATAGGATTAGTATGCCATGATTCATTAATTATTAATCAATAAAACATGTAACAATCCAAATAAAAAATATACTAAAACACCTAACTTTCAATCAAACTATAATTAACATAAATAATCTCTAGAAAGTAAAATTCGAACATAAACTTGAACAAAACTTGGTTAACATATTATCACCCCTTAATCAAATGCTAATCAAATAAAATTCATTAAAACAAACTTAAAATTCAAGAGCTATAAAATTGGAGAACAAACTTAAATTAAAAATGCTAAGATAAGAAGACTTCTAAAAATACAAACATTAATTTATTAAATCTTTTTGTAATCAATTACACTCCTAATCTAAAACACCCCAAATCTTAAGTAATTGAATAAGCAACATAAGAAACTTATTAAGAGGCTTAATCATAACCTACAATCTATTAACTCACCTAAAACTTAATCAAATCTTAGTTAATCTTTTAAAATCACTTGGTACATTTGTAATATCCTTTATAATAAATAATATAATTAAAAAGGATTTTTGCAATATTTATAAACATGTAATTAGTTTCTATGGAATTTGAAAGGTTGTCTGTAATAAAAGGAGATTGGTTTGGTTTTAGTAAATCTTTTATTTTTTCAAAAATGGTTATCTCACTTATGTCCTAAGAGAGAAGAGTTCATTACTATGCCCATTTGGTTTAAGATTCATGATTTTCACTGTGTTGTTGGTAGATGACAAGAAATCAATTATGAAGGTAGATGATCCATTAGGTAGAAAAGAGAATGACACATAAGAACAAGAAACCAATTATGATGGTAGATGACCTATTGGGTCGTTATTTATGGCAGACAGGGTAACGCCGAATAGGTGGCCCGTGGGTAGCTGCCTAGGCTACCAACTTGTTGCCCTTCTTTTCTCCTTTTAGTCGCTGGAGGAATCTCTCCTCTTCTTCTTTTCCTCTTTTTCCCAACTCCTCCATTCTCTCTTCTGCTAAAACTTTGAACCCCTTACCTTGGGATCATATCCTTGTGGGGTCACTAAATCAGTGTGAGTTTCCTATTTCTTCCCTCCCTACTCCTGATGAAGTGATGAATTTTCCTTCGGAAGACATTTACTCTATAATTGGTTTCTTATTATTAGGCTTCATTCTCTTATTTTTATTACAAATATAATTGAAAGCAGTAGTTAGCAAAGGCAGCAATGTCGTCCATCAGATGCAAGGCTGCAGTGGTTCTTTACATTATCGTTTTTTGTATTTCTCTCATATTCCTCCTCTCCTTCCATCTCTTACTTTATATGCTCGCTTCGATCTTGTCGGGGCAAGATAGGTCATCCTGATTGCAGGATGGTCGGGCTACGGGAATTACCGACATCATGTATTTGATATTTTGTCGCTTTTTCTATTTCTTTTAGTTTTCGCTAATCTAACAGTTCTAATCAGTTCCTTTATCTAATACATAATTACACAATCAATTTTCATGAAAATTAAATTAAATTAAATTAATACAAAATTTATCAAAACAAGTAAGTAGAAATTTATAATTAATCAGATTAGCAAAAATCAAAAGAAATAGAGAAAGCGACAGAAGATCAAATACCTGATGTTGGTAATTCTAATAGCCCGATGATCCTGCAATCAGGATGGCCCATCTCGTCCCGATCGGATCCAAACGAGCGTATGAAGTAAAAGACGTATTAAGTAAAAGCTTATTTTAATTACAAATATAATTGAAAACGGTAGTTAGCAAAGGCAGCAATGTCGTCCATCAGATGCAAGGCTGCAGTAGTTTTTTGCTTTATCATTTTTTGTATTTCTCTCATATCCCTCCTCTCCTTCCATCTCTTACTTTCATGCGCTCGCTTGGATCTTGTCGGGACAAGATGGGTCATCTTGATTGCAGGATGGTCGGGTTACAGGAATTACCAACATCAGGTATTTGATATTTTATCGCTTTTTCTATTTCTTTTGGTTTTCGCTAACCTAGTAGTTCCTTTATCTAATACATAATTACACAATCAATTTTCATAAAAATTAAATTAAATTGAATTAATACAAAATTTATCAAAACAAGTAAGTAGAAAATTATAATTAATCAGATTAGCGAAAACCAAAATAAATAGGGAAAGCGATAGAAGATCAAATGCCTGATGTTAGTAATTCTGATAGCTCAATGATCCTGCAATCAGGATGGCCCATCTCGTCCCGATCGAATCCAAACGAGCGTATGAAGTAAAAGACGAAATGAGTGGGATATGAACGAAATACAAAGAACAACGATGTAAAAGAGCGTTGCAACCTTGTATTTGATAGATGTCATTGCTACTTGCGCTATCTACCGCTTTCAATTACCTTTGTAATGAAAAAAAGAGAACGAGCTCTAAAAACAAGAAATCAATTATGGAGGTAGTTGACCCATTGGGTCGTTATTTATGGCAGACAGGGTAGTGCTGAATAGGTGGCCCGTGGGCAGCTGCCTAGCCTACCAGCTTGTTGCCCTTCTTTTCTCCTTTAAGTCGCTGGAGGAATCTCTCCTCTTCTTTTCCCCCTCTTCCCAACTCCTCCATTCCCTCTTTTGCTAAAACTTCGAACCCCTTACCTTGGGATCATATCCTTGTGGGGTCACTAAATCAGTGCGAGTTCCCTATTTCTTCCCTCCGCACCCCCAATGAAGTGATAAATTTTCTTCGGAAGACATTTACCTCTATAATTGGTTTTTAGTTATTAGGGTTTGTTCTCTTATTTTTATTATAAAGTTAATTGAAAGCAGTAGTTATAACAGGCAGTAATATCGTCCATTAGATGCAAGACTGTAGTACTTTTTTGTATTGTCGTTTTTTGTATTTATCTTATATCCCTTTTCTCCTTCCATCTCTTACCTTTATATGCTCGCTTGCATCTTGTCAGGACAAGATGGGTCATTCTGATTGCAGGATGGTCGGGCTACGGGAATTACCGACATCAGGTATTTGACATTTTGTCACTTTCTCTATTTCTTTTGGTTTTCTCTAACCTAATAGTTCTAACAGTTCCTTTATCTAATACATAATTACATATTCAAGTTTCGTGAAAAGTAAATTAAATTGAATTAATAAAAATTTATCAAAATAAGTAAGTGGAAAATTTTAATCAATCAGATGAGCGAAAATAAAAAAAAGTAAAGTGATAGAAGGTCAAATACCTGATGTTGGTAATTCTGATAGTCCGATGATCCTGCAATCAGGATGACCCATCTCGTCTCGATCAGATCCAAACAACCGTATGAAGATAAGAGATGAAATAAGAGGGATGTGAGAGAAATACAAATAACAATGATGCAAAAAAGCGTTGCAGACTTGTATCCGATGGACATCATTGCCGCCTGCGCCGCCTTTGTAATGAAAAAAAGAGAACGACCCCTAATAACAAGAAACCAATTATGGAGGTAGATGACCCATTGGGTTGTTATTTATGGCAGACATGGTAGCGCCGAATAAGTGGCTCGTGGGCAACTGCCTAGGCTGCCAGCTTGTTGCCCTTTTTTTCTCCTTTTAGCCGCTCTAGGAATCTCTCCTCTTCTTTTCCCCCTCTTCCCAACTCCTTCATTCCCTTTTCTACTAAAACTTCGAACCCCTTACATTGGGATCATATCCTTGTGGGGTCACTAAATCAGTGCGAGTTCCCTATTTCTTCCCTCCCCACCCCGGATGAAATGATAAATTATCCTTCGGAAGACATTTACCTCTATTATTGGTTTTTCGTTATTAAGGTTCGTTCTCTTATTTTCATTATAAAGGTAATTGAAAGTGATAGTTAGCACATACAGCAATGTCATCTATCAGATGCAAGGCTGCAATGCTTTTTTGCATTGTCGTTTTTTGTATTTCTCTCATATCCCTCCTCTCCTTCCATCTCTTACCTTCATATGCTCGCTTGGATCTTGTTGGGACAAGATGGGTCATCCTGATTGCAGGATGGTCGGGCTACGGGAATTATCGACATCAGGTATTTGACATTCTGTCGCTTTCTTTATTTCTTTTAGTTTTCGCTATCTTAACAGTTCTAAATAGTTCCTTTATCTAATACATAATTACACAATCAAGCTTCGTTAAAAATAAATTAAATTGAATTACTACAAATTTTATCAAAATAAGTAGAAAATTATAATCAATCAGATTAGCGAAAATAAACAAAAATAGAGAAAGTGATAGAAGGTTAAATATTTGATGTCGTTAATTCTGATAGCCCGATTATCCTGCTATCATGATGGCTCATCTCGTCCCGACCGGATCCAAACGAGCGTATGAAGTAAAAGATGAAATGAGAGGGGTGTGAGAGAAATATAAAGAGCAACGATGCAAAAGAGCGTTGCAGCCTTGTATCTGATAGACGCCATTGCTACCTGCACTAACTACCACTTTCAATTGCCTTTGTAATGAAAAAAAGAGAACAAGCCCTAAGAATAAGAAACCAATTACGGAGGTAGATGATCTATTGGGTCGTTATTTATGACAGACAGGGTGGCCCGTGGGCAGGCTGCCAGCTTGTTGCCCTTCTTTTCTCCTTTTAGCCACTGGAGGAATCTCTCCTCCTTTTCCCCCTCTTCCCAACTCCTCCATTCTCTCTTCTGCTAAAACTTCGAACCCCTTACCTTGGATCATATCCTTGTGGGGTCACTAAATCAGTTTGAGTTCCCTATTTCTTCCCTCCCCACCCCCGATGAAGTGATAAATTTTCTTTCGGAAGACATAGTTGATGCTTATCGAAGAATGAAATCTAGCTCTTGTTGGTTATTTGCTTGATAAGAGATCATTTGATGAAACTTTGCTCAAATATGTGCTGAAACTTTGGAATTTAAAAGATACTCTGAAGCTCATATCTCTGGGTGATGGGTTTTTTTTTTTATTCAAGTTCTCTTGTCATAAAGACTTTAAAATGGTTTGGTCTAAATGATTTTGGTTTGTTTTTAACAAATCTTTTATCTTTTAAAAATGGTCACCTCACTTCCGCCCTAAGAGAAAAGAGTTCAATACTTTACCCATTTGGTTTAAGATTTATGATTTGCCACTGTGTTGT